AAAAAAAACAAAACTTTAAGTGTCATTCGAAAAGCACGCAAGAAAAAGACTTCCTTTAAAGCAAATTTCTTACAAAATATATATCTTCTTACATTTTCGTGGAATCATTGCTAAATGTTTTATTCATTTTTTTTTATTTTTTCCTTATTTTCAGCGTCAAATTGGTTTAGTAAAGTGGTCTTTCTCGCCTAATTTGATTACTTGGTTAATTATTGGTTCTTAATCGGAACTAACTCAATATCTAGCTCTAATGAATATTGAATTCACTAAATTCACTAGTAATCTTMATTGAGGCTTTTCAAGCTTTGAAGCTCGTTATATTTGACAATGAACTAACTCTCATAAAAATATAAAAAAAATTGAATATGAATAAATAACAATGATAATTAAGATCTGTAATTGCTCTAATTTTCTTGACATCGCGATAACAAAAAAGAAAAAGAAAAAAAAAGAAAGAAAGAAAGAAAGGAAAGAAAAAGAAAAAAGGAAAAAAAAAATAGGAAAGGAAAAAAAAAGGAAAATATAAATAAAATATGCAGAATGTTTTCTTAGCTCAAATTCAGCTTATTAAATTTCCAATAAGGTTGTAATCTAAGTGCATTTCAGATATTAATAGACCCGTATTTGCAAGAAGGATGATAAGATTAATAATAAATTGAGCCTCACTGTTTTCWTTTCTCGTTTTTATCGGTTATCAGAAAAAAATACCTTTGGCTTTTTGCCGTTTTCAAGTACGGCAACTCGGTAAAAATCGTAATGCTTTATTGCTCAAAATATCGCTCTTAYTCATACAACCTCTTGGAATTACAACCATTGCTACAGTAGAGAGAAAAAAATAAATATTTTTATTAATAAATGTTAACTTTGTCTGTGTTCATTTCATTCGACTGCTTTCAATGAATTTAAAAATGTTAAAAAAAAGCATACTGCAGAAATAATTTTGTTTTGACTGGGAATTTAAAGCCTGGTTGCCATGCTAAAACGATCCCTTTGAGCTTTCTCTTTCCATTCATAGAGAAAAACCATGACATTTTAATGAAATGCTCAAAAAGATTCGGCAGATGGGACATATGCGACAAATCCGGTATACATAGTTTCTAATTCACAAGCCATTCTACATGGAAACCTGGCTATACATCAAAAACATTAAAATTTGAATATGACTGCACCATAGCCGACAAAAAATTACTTCATTGGATTTACATTAATTTGCTGTTTGTTAGTTTTCGTTGGTTTTAAAAACCACATCAAAACTATTGTTAAATATGGCAGTTCAATCTAAAACTGTTAAACAAGCTGTCCATGATGCTGAGCCCTTGAAAGATTTGATCTAAGAGTGGTCCCTCGAGATTTTAGTAAGTATTGGCGTCGACTTTATGAAACTATCACAGCCAATGTTGACATAAGCACTTAGCTGATTATTAATRCCTTGAAGCACAATCGATTGTACATTGAATGAGTTAAAAGATTGCTCCGRAGATGTCGACTTTTTCCACAACTTTTTTAAGGAGATCTTGAGTTTCTTCCTGAACGATTTGATAAACGAAAAGTAGATGACCGGATTTGCCGCTGAATTCATTATGAAGAGAAGAACTGGAATGTTGCCGTCGACATTATAGAATTTTAYAGGGAAAAGAATTTGAAAAGAAAAAACTGTTTTTGGGACGCCGCAACAGAGTAGGAAGATGAACGTGACGGCTATGATGACAATAACAACGGTTTTCTTCTCTCGACTTCTCGCTCTCTGCACAGCAGGTTGCATTGTSAGATTACTTTCGCTTGTTAGAGTCCTAACTACTTGATAATACGCAAGAAATATCAATGAAAARGGTAGCAAAAAGTGAAGTGTGATTACCGTTCCTGCGTAAATTTGAATGTTATACCATTCAGGTACTGTACCTCTACAGCGTCCATSAGAATACTCAATAGTCAGCATTTTTATCACTAAAAATACAATCCCGAATGCCCAGCAAGGTAGAAAACAGAATTTTCTTCTTGTAATCTCAGTTCTTCGCCACTTTAAAGGATGGCATATAGCCATGTATCGTTCGTAAGCAATTATAACCAACAATGCTGGAGTAATAGCGCCASTAAACCAAAACGAGGTTTCMACTTTACAAAGAAACTCCGCTGCAAAGCTACTTCTGTTGTAAACTTGTTCTAGYACTTTACYAGTCCCAAATAAACTTGCCTGGTCGCGAATTACAATATAATAAATCCCTAAAATCGCTGTTATAAGGTCCACAATGGCCAAGTTCAGAAGAAGGATGTTTGTTGAGGTCTTCAGAGATTTGTGCTGGACAATTATATGGCAAACTAAGCTGTTTCCAATGAAGCACACAGACGCAAAGATAATACAAAGCACGCTGATAGCAGTGAGTTCTACACTTGCCATARTACTTACAACCGTAACGTTTTCCCTCACAGCGGTCAATGACATGTATGTATGTATAAGCTCATGTTTGCTCTTTAAATGCTACTTGTCCATGAATTAATGAAGCACCTGTGCTTTTTGTTTGGACGGCCAATGACAATGACAATGGCTTAACTCAAGAGCTTTTATGCCTGCCAGCAAACCTGATATAATATGTCATTAATAGTTCATACAGCATTTGTTATCTATAAAGGGGTCAGGATTATGATAATCCCTGAAGCTCCATTCACACATATATTTGAATTGAAATGACATGTTAATAAATGTGTAATTTATTTTCGACTGGATTTAATAGGTTAAAATGCCGATAATGCGGCTTTTAGCGTCTATTCCTTAAATCACAACCCAAGGGGGGGGGGGGGGGGGGGGAATGAATACTAACTCAAGATAATAGAGACGTATTATTTATTTCAGACGTTGTAAAATGTCATTACGCAATTCATTCAKCATGTTGCGAACAATTATT